TTATATAGAATGGAAATTTCTCACCTTATGGTCAGCTGATGTCATCTTTTCTGATTCCCTACTGCTACTATAAATTTATTTTTATTTTCATATTTATTCTGTCATTTCAATGGGATTTGGGGAGGTGAAAGAGGTGAACACAGATACTCTGGATTCTGGCCTATATTTTGACCCATTTATGATCTTTCCTATTGCCCTCATTGCTTCACTATATTCTGTTGAATTCAAAAGCTTTGAGTTAACATTGACCCACCGAGCCCTTGAATGTATGACTGAGTGATGGCAACAGCAGCTTTTGGCTTCTCCGTAGAGATTTTGTTTCAGAGCCTTGATGAAAATCTTAGAGTTGTTGGATTAAAACTGTGCCAGACTGAAGGGAAGTGTGTATGGTTTCACTGCGTTCTCTGGTTGGTCAAGTTGTTAGCTCGGAAGAATGAAATGGAGAGCATAGACCACCTGAGCAATGTGGATGGCAGAGGGCCAACTGTCTCCTAATCGAGGCTTTGGGTCATGACAATGGCCACTGAACAGAAAGGAGGGATGGAAACCGAGACTCCTTTCAGACCAAACATCTGGTCACGCATAGAAGATCTTTGTGGTCTTAGAGGGGACAATGGCATGTTATGTCCAGGTCAATTGCATAATACATGCTCTATTTTCACAGTTCCTCAAAAACAGCATGTTCTTTTTCGCTTCCTCGCTTTCTATGGTGCCTCTGCCAGAAATGCACCCCCTCTCAACAATTCCCAGCAAAACTCAACCCATCCTGCAAGGTTCATTTTAGGTGCCACCATAAACCTTCCCTCACTATCCCAGCCAGAGCTCCCATCTCCCTTTCTCTAGAATCCTGAGATGGATATTTATTGTCACTCAAACAGATAATTATTGAGTGGCTACTTTATGTTACACATTGTGGTAGGCTTTAGGAAAACCATGAGAACAAAACAAACTAGATTCCTGACCTTCAAGAATATTTCAGTGTAGAAAGAAGACTGAAAAGAAGAAAAAGATAGGACATTTGTGTGCAAGAATCATATCTAATTCATCACTCAGTCTCCAAGTTATTATGTAACCTTGTACTAAAATGATGAGATTGTTTGTATTGAGGGCAACCAGCCTGGGGATCAGGCCTCCCCAGGCCCCAGTCAGGCTGCCCACAGGCTAGAGAGACCAATATCTAAAGCACACCACTTAGGAAGCTCTACTATAGATCAGGGCTTCTGAAACTTTAGGATGCAGAAGAATCACTTGGAGGGCTTGTTAAAACACAGATTGCTGGATCCCACTCCCAGAAATCCTAATTCAGTAGGACTGGGTATGGCCCAAGAATCAGGATTTCTAACAAGTTCTCGGGTAATGCTGATGCTGCAGGGTGGAGTGGAAATTTGGAGAGGAACTCTTACTCTTGACTTTGTAACTTTAGCATTGTTTGCAACTTTTTATAAATAGCACATATTTCTTTGGTAACCAAAAAATAATTTTAAAGAATTGAAAAAATGAATCTTCATTGTCTTTTCAAGGACAAACAACAAAATAGGCCAGTTCTTGATTTGTGTTGATATTTGATTTTTTATGATGAAGCTTATCAAAGCTGCTTAATTATAAAAGAAATGTATAATTGGGAAAAGTTTAAACATGGCTAAATAAGTCTAACAACCAATATTGAATTTTTAAAGTAAAATTCTTGGAAGTTGTGCAAAATACCTAGAAAAATACTGTGCTTAAAAGTTGTAAAAAATAAAAATAAAAACCTAACTAGATCTGCACAGAAATCAAGGCATAAAATAGCAAATGGAAACATCCATATTTTCACTATTTCACTTTTAGAACCACAGACAATATTTAGAAAGTAACATAGCTCATTGCCGTTTATCTTGATGTGGCCCAGGGGGCTCAACTAAGGACTCAACCAGGCTGGACTGGGGCAGAGGGCATGACCCACATGGTTGAGGCCAGTGGGGCTGGGACCGAGCATACAGCTAGTACAGCCAAAAGGTTTGTTACATACAGGGGATGCAGCCAACAAGTAAACATATTGAGGTTAATGGGAGCCAGGTTTCTCTCTGCTAGGGTAAAGAGGGAAACATATAGAAAGGGAAGACTAAAATAAACCCTGTGGTGTCAACTTGGAATTGAATGTATTGGTATAAACTTTGGCTTGTCATACAGCTAGACAGATGATATAGAAATTGCTATAAATGTATAAAATACATAGAAATAAGTAGGAAACTGTACACACCCTTATGCATACATGCTTCAATATATTTCCTACTTCTGTCCACTGAGAGGTCAGACCTAAAAGCAATGCCATTCCCTAAGCAATTCAATGAGCACCCTAAGAACCCAGACCTTGGTTTCTCAAAACCATTCACCACTAACAGGAACCAGGACTCATTGGAGAAACGGCTGATTCCAGAGCTGGGGCAAAGTATAAGATGAGCCTGGATCAAAAAGTAAGAAAACGAGGATAAATAATATATTCTAAATTCTTCTAGAGAGAGGAAAAACCAGATCACCACAAGTAAAAGTTCCAAAAAAAAAATATTCTCATATTCTCAGTGTAGAATTCTACACCCAGCAAAAACATCAATCAAGTGTGAGGGATGAGTAATGACTTCTCCAGACGAGCAAGAACTCAGAAAGCTTATGTCCCACACGCCCTTTCTGTATTATTCAATTTTTAAAAATCAATGTATATGTGTTGTTTTGAACAACATATTTAACATTTTTTAAACAGGCACTGCATACTCAACCAGTGGGCAATAGGAGAACATTTAAGGTCTCTAATTATGTTGCTACTAAATTCCATTCATCCCAATATATTGCAATTTTCATTTACTTTTTTGAGTCCTTTAAGCTATGAGTCCTCTGAGGTCAAGGTCATCTTCATTCCCACTCTCCAAGCCTAGCTCAGGATCCGGCATATGATATTGGGGCAAAGAAATGATGATCCATTCCCTTTTCCTCCTGGGCACACAGATGATCTACATCTTCCACGCTTTTGTCCTTAAGTTAGAGCCACGTAACTTCATTTTGGCCGTGGAGTATGAGTGAAAGTAATTTATACCATTTCCAGAACTGGCCCCTGAAAATTTCCCAATCCTCCTCCGCCTCTCCCGTTTCGTAGCAAACATGGAGGCCTTGTGTTGAAAAATGGTGGTAACACCAAATAGAAGAAGACTCGATCCCTGAATGGGTGCATGAAACAGCGCTCTCCAACATACACACACGCCCTCACCTCTCTGCTGACTCACACTGGACGGTGACGTGAGCAAGAAATAAACCTTCATTTAATTAATCCCCTCAGATTTCGGGGTTGTTTATTATAGCAATTAGCATATCCAGACTATTGTAGACAGGAACTCAATAATTTCTTGAAAAATAAAGGAATTTCCTGTAAGACTCCTAACAACAACTTGGCAGGTAGGCTAATCTCCACAAAAACAAAAAGTAAGCGTTATTTCTTTCCAACTCATATTCTTCCCAGAAACAACTTATTTCCGTACATTGTTCCTAATGACAATTGTTATCATTTGATTTGAGGAGTTTAAATAGTGTTGTTATTGATGATAACAAATACAGAAAATTTCTAATAAATTACTGTCTTGGCACCTAAGTGTGAGAATTCAGCCATTTCCTGTGAGATAAACATACTTAGACCAGCTCAATTTACTTATTCATCCTTCCTCTAAAACATTTATAAATCGCCTGCTATGTGCTAGGCTCTGTGTGAATGTGCAAAGATAAATAATAGACATTCCCTGCCCTGATGAGTCCAGTCCAGGAGAGAGGATATAAACAGCCTTCTAACCACAACAGCAAGCAGAATAGGGGAAGCGCTCTCAAGAAAGCATGGTAAAGGCCACTAGGCTGTCTGTAGAGCAGGATCTGTCCTGCACCCAAACCGTTTTGTGAACATGATTAAGTTACTGGCTCTTCCTGAGCCCCAGCTTCCTCCTCAGTAAATGGCCAGTTTAGACTAATCTAAGGTTGGCAAATACATAGCATGCGAGCTGCACCGCGACAGAACCACACGTCAGTCACAGCACCCCTGCTGAGGTGCACGGACGTGGCCTCAGAATAGTTTCCAACACAGAGCTCCAGTCCACCACTAATCAATGAAACCTTCTAGCTGTCCCTGAACCAGTTATTCTCTAAGGTTCTCATCAAGCTTCTCTGAATGAAAGTCAGAAACCAGGAGAAGGTCCCGAAGGGCTCCACAGCCTGAGCTCAGAAAGGGCTGAGACTAAAGGCTTGGTGGAGAAGCCAAGCCAGCCAGGATGTTTTTAGACACAGCTGAGCTGGGGCTCCCATGTTTCTCCGTGGCATAGTGGTTAAGCACACAGACGTGGGAGCCAGACCACCTGAGTCTGAACCCTGATTCTACTTATCCACCGTCAAAGCTTCGGCAAGTTGTTTATGCTCTCTGTGCCTCAGTTTCCTCAACCGCTGATATAAAGATTAAATGGGCTAATAGCCATAAAACATTTGGGACAGTGGCTAGTCTGTATAGCCACCATTATGTAGTATTTGTTAAATAAATTATCTACTGAGCATCTCGGTGCTTCTCAACCCCAGGGTATGGTGAGGGGGTAGGGATGAGGCTGGGAGCCTTAGGTTCTACCTAAGTGTTTAAGTGAGGATTTCCTAGCCCCGACTGGTGAGACCTGATGTGGGGAGCTCCAGACCAGATCCTGTTACCCCAAATGCCCTCTGATCTCCAGAGGAACAGATCCTGAATGTCCAGCCCCCATACGGCCTTGTTCTGAGGCCCAGAACTGGAATTGGGCAGAGGACACATCCCAGCCTTGAGATCTTTTGCTGCATCTAAGACAGTGACCCCAGCCCCTATACTCGTGGTCTACACCTAGGGAAGGGCTTATATCAAAGGGTTAAACTTACTCCCACTGGGAGTGGAAGGCAATTTCCTCCCTGAAATCTTGGCTCTCCATGCTTCCTTCACTCCACCCTCAACAAATGTGCAGGATATGAAGTCACTGAGGCATCCGCTGCTTTCTACTTCCCTTTGATATCTTAGTTCCCTAGACTTAAAAAATATTTTGCCTCAGTGATCATTTCTCAACACTTCCTCAGCCCAGGAGCTTCAGAAGCCCCTACCAGGCCAGCTCTCCTCCTGCAGCAGCTCCCTCCACAAGACGATGAAGGTCTCCGTGGCTGCCGTCTCCTTCCTCCTCCTCATCATCATCACCGTCACCTTAGGGTCCAAGACTGAATCCTTCTCACGTGAGTGCAATGCCTTGTCTTCTTTCCAACCTGTTCCCTCTGGGGAAATAAGCAGGAGCAAGGTTGCTGGGGACACTAGGAGGAGGAGCTCTCGGAGGAGGTCTGGTGTCTTCTTAAACTGGTTTCCTCTTCACCCTCCCCAAGACCAGTCCCCCTTTCCATCAAGGCTGTGGAGTGAGGCCAGCGTGCCTCTCCACTGGCTCAATTCATCTCTCTTTGCCATTAAGCAAAAGAGTGGCCCACCCCATTTTGGGACATTATCCCCAGGGAGACTGAGGAGCAGTGTTTGGAAACCCTCAAGGCCATTTTGTCTATTTGCTTCTTGAGATTTGGGCCCAGCCTGCTTCCAGGGTCAGCCCTACTCCGTGAGCACAGCATCACTTAGGTGTGGGCTGGAGAAACTTGACAGTGGGGGTCTCGCCTAGGCCACCTTTTTTCAGCTTATTTCTTAGGATGAGCTGTCTTTACAGACAACCAGAACCATTCCTCACCCTTCAATTTTACCTCATTTCCCTTTCAGAAACTGATGGGAAACATAGAAGGTTGTTGGAATAAAGCTAGTCTAAAGTTAATGAGAATCTGGAGAGTTTGATTTGCCTCTCTGAAAAGTCGTTCCTCAGTTCAGAGGAATATGGGGGGAATGGGTCTCGGGCACCAGGGGATCCCTTATTCCATTCTTCAGAGAGGGAGGATGCTGCCTGGAATGGTGCTGGATAATTGGACCAGACCTTTCCCTTTCCACCCAAGCATCTGGCCACCCTCAGTGACCCCTGAGGCCACCATGACACACACTCACATTCTGTCCAGGTTGGTCACATAACCATGCACACCCCCAATCACTCCATCCCATAACCACAGCAAGTACTTTTTTGTACAGGGCTCTTGGTCTGAAACGCCATCCCTGCTGCATCCATAATTCAAGATTGGTGTGACCTTGCTATCACCCTCTTGCATCTCCTATAAGAGCCATGAAATTTCAGAATCAGAAAATAACTGAAAAATCACCTAATCCGGTCATTAAAAAAATTTTTTAGACCGTGAAAGCTTTTCTTCAAGCAAAGTCTTACACAGAGGCCCAATATGTAAAACAGAAAAACAGGATTGAATGGGGTCCGATACCCAAGATTCCACACTCAAATGCATCAGTACCTCCAAGATAGTCCCTGAAGCCCCCAGAGCCTCAGGAAGCTCCATACAAAAACCACCAATCCAGTCCAACAGCCTCATTGACAGAGGAGGAAACTGAGAAGGGAATAAAAGGGTGAGGGGCACAAAGCCAGCAAGGTGAGGTGGGGTTAGAATCTGGATGTCCTGACTCCCTGGCCATTGTCTTTGGGGTTTGGTGTGGGCATCCTTCCCTCTTTGCAGGGTATGGGTTCAATGGGGACACGGGCAGGATGGGGGGACTGGGAGGGGCTGGGTCTCAAATGCCATGTGCCCCAATCCCTATTGGGATTTCTTCCAAATATTCCTCCTATCTGGAGCATCTCTGCAATTCTGCCCCTCAGGGATGGTTTGTGCTCACCGAGAAGATCTGGGCTTTGTTGGTCTTCAATCCCAGAGTTGAAAGTCATCAGCCAGTCTTTCTAGGAGGGGCTGAAGAATGGAAAGGAGGGTGGTTACTCATGAAGGAGGAGGAAAAGAGGAGCCAGAGGAATAGCATGGAGAGGGAGATAAGAGAACTGAGTTTCTCCACAGCCCTATCCGGAATTCCACATGACTATCTCCTCCTTCCTTCCCTCTTCCACCCCCTAGGGTTACAGGAGCAGCTAGCAGGTATCGTCTTTAACAAGGACCCAGTCTGGGCTTCCCAGCACACTTTCTCCTCAGGAGGACCTCACTACCCTGCGGACTGCTGCTTCAGCTACATTACCCGCACAATCCCACGTAACCGGATTACACATTATTATGAGACCAGCAGCCAGTGCTCCAAGCCTGGAGTTGTGTAGGTGGCATCCACACAGGAAGAGAGAGAGCCAGCAGGGCCTGGGGGCGGGGGGCAGGAAGGATAGGAAATGGGGACTCCTTAGGGTGCCTCTCAGGTGTGTTGACACAGAGACAGGCAACAGAGGCAACTTGGGTGCTTTTTGGCCTGTCTGGGGCCTGCTAGGAGCCGGGAAGAAGCTAGCCCCATGGATGGAGAGGTGTTAGGGGAGGGGAAGAGAAGGCAGGAGGGCACTTCTTGGGCAGGGACACTGAGACTAGATGGATCTAGGGGCCCTCAGGGGCTGGAAATCATGTCTCAGAAAGGAGACTGGCCCTGGGCTGCCTCTAACAAAGGAAGGAGAACCAGTCTAGGGTGGGTGAGGAATTTGTGAGGGAGGATGTGCTCTCACTTCCCAGCTGCTGGACCCTCAGTTTGTAATCCTTCTCCCTCTTGCTCCATAGCTTCATCACCAAAAAGGGCCATTCCATCTGTGCCAATCCCAGTGATGCCTGGGTCCAGGACTACATCAAGGTGCTGGAGGTGACCAGAAGAAGTGGGGGAGGGAACAGCTCAAAATCTTAAAGAGAAGAAGCCAAGGCCCTCTCCCACTCCCAACTCAGCCCCAGCCACCTGCTGCGAGCTGCCCCGCCTTGAATTAAAGACCAGACATGCCCTTCTCTGCCCTCATTCATTTCTCCTGAATTTACTTCTTGACAGTAGCTTGAGGACACTGGTGAGCCCAGCCTGGGGTGGCGCCCTCAGCATCAAGCCTTACTCTGTAGAAGTTTGGCCAGAACCTGGTGCAAAAGATGGGTCAGGCCTGCAATGGGGGGAGTGGGAAGCTGAGCAGAGAGAGAGAAAGACACTCTCTTTCTCTCTTCCAAAGGTGTGTAAAGGCCACCTTTACACAATAATAACCACGATAATAACAGATACCGTTCCTTATCTAGCACCTTCTAATTCCAAGCACTCTGCTAAGCAGTCTATGTGCATTACCTTATTTAAGCTTTACAAGCGTAAAGCTAAGAATTATCACCTGACTTTGCAGGTAAATCTTCATAAAGGCCTCTCCACAGCAATCAAACTCCATAGCCCTTTTTTCTTTTCCTTTCTTTTTTTTTTTTTTTTTGTGAGGAAGATCAGACCTGAGCTAACATCCATGCCAATCCTCCTCTTTTTGCTGAGGAGGACCGGCCCTGAGCTAACTTCTATTGCCAATCCTCCTCCTTTATTTCCCTTTTTCTCCTCCAAGGCCCCAGTAGATAGTTGTATGTTATAGTTGCACATCCTTCTAGTTGCTGTATGTGGGACACCGCCTCAGCATGGCCGGACAAGCGGTGCATGGGTGCTGCACCCAGGATCCGAACACGCATAGCCCTTTTTTTTTCTGTGCTGCTTCCAAGGCCTTTGTTCCCTGCCATCTGGAACAGGAATGACTCATGGACGTGTTGTATCTAATTTTTCCCAGTCCACCTACATACATCAGGTTGTACTATACTGTTTTACTCATTTTTGTGTCCCCCACAAGGCCTAGCAGAAAGTCTGACCCACACCAGGTGCTCAGGAGATGGATCAGTGGATGGATGGATGGATGGATGGATGGATGGATGGATGGATGGATAGATGAATGGAATGAGACAGGAATTAAGAGGAGGCTTATGCTTCAAAAATAACACCCAGCTGCCCCCAAAGGCTCTCAGACCCATCTTCAGGGTTCAAGGAGGAGCTATGCATACTGAGTAAGAGCACGCCCAGTGTAGACACTATAGCCACCCTCCCCTGGCCTGCAGTCCTCCACAGACAAGGTCCAAGAGGGGGCCTGCCCACTAAAGGTATAACCAGGCTTCCTCAAATCTCCTTGCCTCCACAAACAGGGGTCAATTGGGTACCCCACATACACACCTTCCCTACCCCCATGAAACCTACAGCTTTACCACCATTAACTGTCTTGAATCCACAAGGACTGATTGCATTATGTTTTCCCCTATTTATGAGCAGTCACACCAAATAGCAAGCCCATAAGGATCTTTATATTCCCTGTTCAGCCCCCGTCTCCCCGTGCTCTCATCTCCTGAAACACTCCCCCATGCCTCTAAAGCTCACAGTCCGTCAACGGCAACAACCCCTATATCTTCCGTCTCTTCTCCAAACACTGCCTTCAACCTGGAACAGGGTCTTGAGGCAGTCTGAAGAGAGAAGACGCTGAGGGGCAGGTCTAGCCTCCACCAAAACCAGAGGGCAGAAGCTGGAACGCTGGGACAGAAGCAGACAGTCAGGCACATGGTGTTGCAACACCCTTGTGGTCATGATTGGCCATGGTGGCAGGTTGGATACACCCAGACTGCAGGCACACAGGAGAGATCAGCCAACTAGACCTAAAACTGGTTCAAAGTCCAAAGTCCAAAGAGATAAATGTGAACATCAACAAATAAGCCAAACACCTTAGCAACAGATGGGGACCCAAGGATCAGGCACGTTGTTGGAGTATTAGCAGCACAATCTGTGACATGAAAGAGTGTGAGCTCAATCATGTGTCCTTGCACTGGGGATGGGGGGCATCCTTGTCAGACATCACTAAATGCTATCCTTGCCTCGGTCTATGCTCTCTCTAATCCTGCTTTATGTTCACCCTCCCGAAGACTGGTCACCTGGGGAAACCGGGGCCCTTCAACCCTCCCTCCCCCTTCCCCGACATAGAGATGGTGGCAGGTAAAGTGGTGAAATCACACAGATCTGGTTTTCAGTACTGCCTATCTGGCTCCTACCTATGTGCCCTTGGACAATTGATTTAACCTACCTAAACCTCAGTGGCCTCACTTATAACACGGGAGAAATAATCCCTACTTCACTACTGTGAGGATTAAGCAAAACAGGGCATGCAAAGTGCCTGACGCACGGCACACAGTCGCCGCACATTCCCTTCCTCGAGTTCTTACCATTACATGAATTCAAATCTTACTGAATTCAACTCTGTGCCAGGCCCTGCCCTCCAACGCCCTCCCTTTCAGCAAACACTGAGGGAGGCCCGTTGTTTCTCCTCCACCTGCTGCAAAGTGGTCAGAGTCCAGAGAGCTGAGAGGTCAGAGAGCGGACAACCAGAGGCAAGCAGGACATCTCCACTCAGCCCTTCCCTGAAGCTGAACTGTCCCACTGAGAGGATGAACGTCTCCGTGGCTGCCCTGTTTCTCCTCATCCTCATCCTCACCACTACTCCTGCTTTTCCCCGCTAGTAAAGTGAGTCCATCTGTCCCTGTAGGGCAGCAATGAGAAAGGGGAACAGGGTAGCTGGCAGCAAGGTGACACCAAGAGCTCTGTCAGGTCTCTGTCCTCAGCCCCAGGGCCTCTCCCCTCCTGCATGCACAGCTGCTATCCTCAAACTCTCCCCTTTGTAAGTAGAGCTGGGCTGTGGTCCAGATCCTTCTGGGGTTGGGCAGTTCTAGGAAGCTGGGTCAAGGTTACATCAGGAGTCTCAAGGATGGAGAGCAGGAGTGATCATTTAGGAGGAGGAGCCAAGGATGTAACAGAAGAGACAATAATAAATGCATGCGATGAAGAGGAGGGCAAGGCAAGTGGGTGAGAAGAGCTGTAGACGCTCTGGGAGAGCAGGACAAGGAGAGCTTTGGAGGCAGGCTGAAATGATGTTTGAGGCTAAGCCCAGGAATGGGGAGACTGAACCTAGACACCCCTTCCTTTCAGTGTCTGGCATAGATTGCTGGGACTATCATGGCAGCCAAAAGAAGTCCTAATGGGATGCCCAAGTGTGCAGTTTGGGGGTTTCATGGCCCCCATCTCCATCCCCCAGCCCAGGTCTAAATAAATTCTATAGAAAAGAAGAAAGGGGTTGAAAGATTTTAGAACTATGGGATGCTTGGAACTTATGGAGAACATGACTTGTTTTGCCCACTCCCTACCCCTGCCTCTATTGTGATTTATGAGAACCGTCACAGGAAAGGGACCAAGACACTCAGGCCTTCCACATACCAGCTTTCGGCTGCCCCAGCCCTTCTTCTCTCCCTTGGCATGTAGTCTGGCAGGACTCTGCCTATATAAACACTCAGGGGAGCAAGGGTCGCGCACACCGTGTAATCTGCCCATGCACTCTCAGGATGCCCCTGGTCTTTGTAAACTTTGCCTTGAGAACCAGGGTCATGAATGTCACTGAGTGCAGAGGTGCCTCTGGTGGGTGGGAGGGGGGCAATAATGCCCTTCAGGAAGGTCGAGCAGGCCAGTGCAAAGGGTTCAGTCTTCAAGGAAGAAAAAGGGCCCACCCAAAGCATGGATCACCCAAATGGTGCTCTCAACATGTCTGCAACTTGGCCATCAGCTGGAAGCAAGAGTTCAGGCTGCAATGGGATTTACATTCTGCAAGTTTGGGGGCTGAGGGAGGTCTCTGCCTATCCTCCTATATAAGATCCCCAACTGATGAGTAGTCAGGGAAGCTCAAGGGAAACACAGCACTAACAAACAACCAAGTCCAGCATCCTGCGAAGATCAAAGAGAGGGGAAATCAGCCCATTTCCAGGCCAAAAGAGTGGTCATTACTACCATTTGCTCTTAATTATAACAAACACTGACTGAGCCTGTCTGTGTGCCAGGCTCTGAGTTAAGGGCTTTACTAGCATTTTCTCAACTAGTCTTCACCACGATCCTAGGACATAAGTATCATTTTACCCTCATTTAATGGATGAAGACTAATGGATGGAGAGATTAAGAAATTTGCTCATATTTCAAATCATTTAGTCAAGACTCCAGCCCAAGATGTCTGACCCCAAAGCCCAAATAGAACACTTTCCTCCTGCCCTAACTTCTCTTGCTCATGGCTCCACCTCACCCTCCTTCCTGACCTCGGCCTCTCTAATGCCTCTGGGATAGAATCCAGACTCCCTACCACAGCCCAGAAGGTGTGGTGGCCCACCTCTCTCTCTTCAATATCATCTCTTTCTACTTCTTCCTTCTCACCTTGCATTCCAGCCATCGGAACCTGCTCAGCACTCCCCAGACATGCTGAGCTTCCCCCACCTTCAGGCCCTCATATATTTCTTTCTTCCAGATTCTACAATCCCTTTGTCTGTCTAAATCCAACTCATCCTTCAAGAATCAACTCAGGAACCACCTGCTATGGGCCTTCTTCCTCTACCACCCAGGCTGGGTTAGGTGCCCTCATTCTGCTCCCATAGTACATTGTGTTAAATTCTATTCTATCCTAGACCACATTCTGTCGTAGCCTTTATCTTTTCACTTTCTCTTTTTACCCTGACTAGCCTGTAAGGTATTCAATAGTTGTGACTGGGTCTTCCTCCTGTCTTGACCCCCATAGAGCCTGATATATTAGATCAGCTCAATACACGTTTGCCAAATCAAGTCCTGGTTCATCATCAAATGTGAATAACCCAGTCATTTGTACTTGATGAAACTCAGTTCAGAGGCTGAAGGTTCTCCTTGTATGTCTCCCAGAGGGGTTCATCTATTTCACTTTTTCTATCACCTATTAAGCTATCATCAGTCCCTGCTAACAGATGGCTTTGCCATCAGAGGAGTGGAATGCAATAGGTGGGAGATGGAGGTGGGCAGCCATGGGCTCCCTCTCTGCATCCTTGGCTCAGCTTTCAATGTGATTCCCTCAGAAATTCCTGAGTCGGTGAATGCTTCACTCACCTGCTGCATGAAGTATCATGAGAAAGTACTGCCAAGGAAACTGGTGGTGGGATACAGAAGGGCCCTCAACTGTTACCTGCCAGCAATCATGTAAGCACTTCCCTGCAGATATTCCTGTGGAGAGGGAAGAGGAAGCCAGGGCTGGAATGGGAGGTACAGAACTAAGAAGTCTCCATCCTAGAAGCAGAGGAGTAGTGGTTAAGGGCTTGAGCTTGAATCTCACAGCACAGGCCTGAGTTTAATTCTTACTTTGCCACTTATAGCTTTGTGGCCCAATAAATGGCAGCCTTAATGAAACCCAAGCCTGAGGATTTAGGCTGAGTGGGGAAGGGACTCAAAGAAGGGATGATGAGGTCTAGAGGCCAGAGAGGGAGGCCTTCTGAGGAGACCCAGAGGGTGGAGGCCTGGGGAGGTGGTAAAGAGCAGGAGGCAAGCCCCATGTGAGCTAGAAGTGGAGAGTACGGACTGAAGCCCCACGCTATTCCACGGCCCATGACAGTCCAACTCTTCCTCCCCAGCTTCGTCACCAAAAAGAACCGAGAGATCTGCGCCAACCCCAATGACAAATGGGTCCAAGAGTACATTGAGAATCCCAACCTACGCTTGCTACCCTCCAGGAACCTGGCCTAGGTTAAAACTATTAGATCCTAGAAAGGCCAACCCCAGCTCCTCAGCTCCCCATGATGATCAGGCCTCGGGGAGAGCCCATGTTCGGGAAAGAAGGATGTAACCCTGTGAAAATACGGGCAGCCTTGTGGTCTGAATGGCAGAGTCACATTCAGAGAAGAAGGCCAGCGATCCAAAAAGTAATTAAAAACATTTTGAATATTTTTTCAATCTCTGGAGGAAATGCCAAAAGTGAGGGAAGTGGGCAGTGATACACTCTTAATACACAGAAAAACATTTCACATCCTTCTCCTTGCTCTGCTTTCAGTTGCTCACCTCACACCAAGACACTAGCTTCCAACCAGTCAGATCATTTCTGGCCTCTGAGTCACTAAGATCCCCACAGAACTCTTGACTTTTCCTGTCCATCGTTGTCCCTTTTCTAGATCTCTTTTTTCTTCTATTATTCTTTTCTTTTGAAACATAACTTTTTCTTAACAGGCCAGGGTGGGAACATTCACGTGTTAATGATTTTTGTCCCTGTTGCAGAGGCTTTGCTAGATCCTCCATGGCTATTTGGCCTTCCCCTGGGTGGCATGGGTACAGAGAGTACCAAAACAAAAGAAGAAGTGTGAATCTCTAGCTCCCACACTAAGCTTTGCAGGGTAGGGAAAGGGCATTAGACTACGTTGGGGGTAAAAATCTTGCTCCAAAACTCAACCATTCAATAAATAAAATTTCCTTTACTGCCACCTTGATTCCTAACTTCCTGTCTCCTTTCTGTAAGAGTGGAAGAAACTTAACCTCAGTTTTTTTCAGAGGCTTCTCCACATTCCCCTGAGAATTTTGTCAACACTGGGGGCTGGAGAGTTTCCATGGCACCAAACCCAGACCTATATACTCATATATCTCTTCTTCTTGCTACGCCTCTGTCTCCAGCTCAACAGCAGGGAACTGACTCAAATAAAATTCAACATTCCCCCAAAATGTTCTTGTGAAAGCAAAACAAAAATCAGGCAATTAAAGCTATATAATTAAGAGAAACAAATAAACTTGGTGACGTGATTATTCTGAAAACTGGCCATTCCATGACTTGGATTCTGGTAAAGTGACCCATAACTGCCCCCAGTGGCCCCCAGCGGTAATACATGCATAAGCCTGCCTCCCCGCCTCAACTGAAGCTGATCTACCGGATGGCCACTTGACCCCAGCTGGCCAATCAGACTCTCAGACAGATACAATTTGGACCAGAGAAACACATACCAGATGCTGTTAAGGCAGCATCCCAAGGGAAGAGGTCTGTGAACTCCCTGGAGCTGCCCTGCTTCCTGTCGTCAACCCAGGCTTGGAGGTTTACCTGGTCTTCCAGTTCCATGAGGTGCCCCAACATTCTTCCCATTATTCCTTTTAGTTTTTTGCTTTTTTAATTCCTGAAGGACCATGGTGGCATTTAGTACCTCTGGAATAACTTTTTTTGTTGGTTTAGTTCAGTTCTGGTTTGTGCGTGCATACCATTTTTATCATTTTTAGGTGTACAATTCAGTGGCATTAAGTACATTCACACTGTTGTGCAACCATCGCCACTATCCATCTCCAGGACTTCTTCATCACCCAAAACTGAAACTCTGTACCCATCAAACAACAACTTCCCATTCCTCCCTCCCCCAGCTCTTAGTAACCACTATTCTACTTTCTGTCTCTACGAATTTGACTACTCTAGGTACCTCATAAGTGGAATCATACAGTATTTATCCTTTTATGACTGGCTTATTTCACTCAACATAATGTTTTCAAAGTTTATCTATGTTGTAGTATGTGTCAGGACTTCATTCCTTTTTAAGGCTGAATAAGATTTCATGGTATGTGTCTACCACATTTTGTTTATTTACTCATCATCCATAGACATTTGGGTATCCCCCTTTTCTTTATGTGAGCCAGAATTAACATATCTTGGTTTCTGCTACTTATGCCAAGAGCACTTTAAATCGTACAGTGACCTGACCCATCAATCACCACGTTGGCCAGGCAGGGGCTCAGAGGCGGGTAACAGCCTAAGGCTCTGACCATCCGCTTACTGTCCTTGTCCCTCCACAGGAGGCCAATGCTACCTGCTCTAGGCCCTCCTGGGCTGTAAGCTCTAAGGAGCTTCTCTCCACCCTCCTTGCTGTCAAAGCTAAGGGGTTGTAGCTAAACATGATCAAACTTCTCCCTCCAGGAGCTCACAGCCCAGGGATGATAGAATCACTAACAAATACAATGTAGTCAGGCCCAGATCTTTGCTTGCAGAGGTCAGAGTGGACATGGAGGGGTGGCATAGCTTGGATTGAGACAGGAGCCAGAACAGGTTCAGCGTGTACACTGGAAGCAGCAGGAAGTTTCAAAATCCTTCCTTAGCCAGCATGAGGGTCAAAACCAGGGAACCAGAGTTCAAAGTCCTAAAGGACAGGATGGGGCTAAAAACAGGAAGTATAGGCCAGAGCCAGGCCAGAATTCTAGCAAGCTGGAGCAGAAATGTTGTTATTTGTCTTCTTTTTTTGGTCCCTCAGAAGAGTTCAGGGTTGAGACGTCAGTCGGAAAACCTAATTGAATGTCTACATACAAAGTCAAATCCCCATCCCAGCACATAATATAAAGCTTTCCAGAAACTCCTAATGGTTCAGAACCAGAAATACTTTTCTCAGGTGCATTCAATTGTTTTTGAAGAGGGCTATTCCTAGTCTTTTCAAGATAGATAGATGCCTGGCTTTAAACACACACACACACACACACACACACACATAAACACAGAAAGGATCGCCTCATTCTGACACATAGCAGTCTTTCAGCCCTGATCATCTTAAAGTGAAGAACTCACTCACATAAACTTACACCCAAACAGCTTACGTGACTGTCAGCCTTGTGGAACATAGCTGATGATTAGGAGAGGGCAGAAAATAAGCCCTAGAATAGTGGGATTTTTCACTCATTTGTCAGAGAAAGAGGTAGCTCAGGGTGGGTGAAGGACCCACACAGTAACATGGGGAAACCGGTGGGTGGGACAGGAAGGGAAAAAAGCAAGGAAGTGACTTTAGTTAGCAAGGGTAGTACAAAGGGCATTTCACCTGGCATTGAGAGGTCTGGCCGCACGTCCCCTCTCTGCGCAGCTGTCTAATACACTGGATTTGAACCAGATGGACAGATGTCCTGAGGCTAGCTTTGGCAGGCATGCAAGAAATGTTATTCGGCCTTCAGAACAGCCTTCTGAGATGGGCCAGGTGAGCATGCATTTCCCTGGCCTGAAAGTACATATGTGCGTACACGTGTGTGTGAGCAACCATTGGGAGTCCTCAGCTGCCTGAAGTAGTGTTTGGGGGACACAGTTGATGCAGTAGTTTAAAGGCATTGGCTCCAAACTCAGATAGACAAATCTAGGTTCAAGTCCCAATTCTGTCTCTTACTGTGACAGTAAAATGTTGTTATTCTTTTAGCAGCTAGAACACAAATCCCTCGCATGGAGGAAACAAGCTTTGTTAAGAAAGTGTGTCAGTAACCCCAGTTAAGGCAGGAAACTCCCCCAGGACATGGTTACAGACTGAAGCCAAGACTTCAGGGGAAGGGGTGAAGTTGCTCTAGGTGAACCAAGAAGAGGAGCTGTTTTGCCTTTGAGAGTCAGAGAGGGTAGAGAGAGGAGTCGGGAGACGGGCTAGAGACTGTGCAGTGAACACCAGGACCTCCCTCCTCCCTGAAGCCTCAAAATTTCTGTCAAATATTTAGCTCCTGGAATACTTGATGCGAGCGGTTTGGGGGAAAGTGACAAGGGAGATAACTCCCCATTAATGTTACATAGATGTGAGACAGGGCCAGCACCCCCAGAACAAGGAATTAGAGACTGAGAAATGAGAAGTACATCCCTGGGGATTCACAGAAGTCTTGTGGAAGCTTTGGATTCCCCAAGACTGTAGCATTGGGGAAGTGAAAAGACTCCCAAGGGCTCTCAAGATCCCGGGACATGACTGCATGGCTACTTTAGACAGGGTGGTGAGGAAAGTGTGGCATGCAACCTGAGAGCTAAATGACTAGAGCCATCGGCCATGTGAGGACCAGGGAAAGAAAACTTTCCAGGCAGAGGACCCAGCCAGTGCGAAAGCCCTGGGCAGGCGCTAGCTTGGTACATGGGCGCTGTATGGCTGGAGCGTGGAGGATGAGCAGGAGAGTGGCATGAGCAGGAGCAAGGCAAAAGGAGGTCAGGAGTACTTTGGAAGCCAGGGTAAGGCGTGTGCATCTATCTCAAGGGAGGTGGAAAGCCAGTGGGGACTTTTGTAAGCAGCCAAGTGAGATCATCTGATTTACATATTTAAAGAAATACTGGATGCTGTGCAGACATGGATTACTGGGGGGCAAAGGAGACCCCTGCAGCAGTCCAGGCTACAGATAACAGTGGCGTAGACCAGGGAGGAAGTGGTGGTAATAGAGGAAAGTGAGCAGATTAGGGAACTGTTTGGGAGATAGAATTTAAAAGACATACTGAGAAAGATTTGGGCCTGAGCAACTGGTTAGATGTTGATACAATTTATAGAGGTGAGGAAGTCTGAAAAAAGCAGAGTGAGGGTAGAATCATGAGTTCTGTTTGGGCCATGTTAATTTTGAGATGCTTGTTAAGTACTTATGTGGCCATGTTGAGTAGGGAGTTGGCTACGTGATTGGGCAATGCCAGGAAAAGGTCAGGCTGGAGATATAAAGCCATGGGACCAGACGGGGTCAGCTGAGTGTGCAATGGGTAAGGGAGGAATGGGCTCAGGAGCATTCAAACATTTAGAAAAAGAACAGAGCAGGAGTAACATGTAAATGGAACGGAGGAGTGGCCAGTGAGATAGAAAGAAAACCAGAAGAGCGTGGTAACCTGGGAGCCAAAAGAACAAAATAATTCAAGAAAGAGAGAGTGGTCAAATGCAATGAGTGCTGCCAACAGATGAAGGAAGAATAGAGAAATGGCCATTGGATTTGACCCATGAGGTCATCAGTGACCTTGATGAGAAAAGCCTCATCAGAGAAGCCCAACAAAGGGGGTAGGAGAGAGGATGGGGGTTGTGGAAGTGAGGAGTGGGACTCTA